CTAGGATGGACTGTCAGTATCTGATCACATGCACAACTCATCTGGGAGATTCTGGTGTAGTAAAGTCTGTCTCCAGAGCCTAGGAGGGCTCTGCTTTTCTGAAATGTGCATGCTTTCATAGCCTCTTACCTTTCTGTGTACACTTTTCAAAAGATTTTACATATGGCTTCACACATGGAGCTGTTCCTCATTTTGATAAAGATGAGAATGCTCAGAGAACTGAAGTGCCCACAGTCAACTTTCTGTCCTTCTCTCCTCCCTTCCTTGATCTTGATCTTTGATCACTCTCAGCACCCCTTGTGCACACACCACTTCTTTTCTCCTTTTCACCAGGTGGAGCATCGAGCTGAGTGTACTAGACCACAGCTCAGGTACCAGTTGTATTCGTGCTCCTGCAGATGCATCAGGCAGCAAGGGCGAGTGGTGCAGCCTGATTGTTATACCCTGGAGCAGTCTCACATTTTTTGAATACTTAATACTTTAAAGTTTACAAGCCTACTTGTAAGTGAAGTGCCTGCTGTCAATTAGTAATCCACCTGGCGAGTACAGTATTACTTGCTTCTTGGCAAGTTGCTGCTAGGCTTCATCCTTCTGAAAGAGATGGTGTGGAGGAAATGTCACTGGGTTCATCTGCAGGGATTTCCTTTCTTGTTGGTTTGTCTTTCAAAGTCAACACTGCCCAGAACGGTATGTGGCCCAACCTACCCTGTACTTAAGGGGTTTGTCATGGAATTTCTTTTCCCCTGCTATCCATGCCCTCCAAAGTGCCTGTGTGTACCACCCACAGGCACAGATGGTCTCCCTAAGCTGCTGAACAAATCTTGTGGCCATGAAGATACTTTGAATGCTGAAAAAAAATCCACCCCCTCAGCTTTTGACATCTGCTTCTTGTGGTGAATGATGAAATAGAAATACTCTGCTAAGAAATGCGCTGTGTGCTGTTTGGGGGAAAAGAGGAGGCTCACTTCTTGTTAAAAGTGCAGGAAATCATGAATTTATAGTTCTCATATAGCACAACCAAGTAATGTCCCAAGAAAACTGGAAGCTATTCCTAACGCTACCCTGAAGGAATAAGGAAAATAGGGGATGTGTGGTAGTAAAAGAATTTTTTTTATTATTTATTTATGACTACAAAACTGAGGGCAATATTTTTGCTTATAATTTGATTCCCCTTCCAGCACACACTCCTCTTAAATGAACCTCTGCTCAAATTTCCTCTGTGCTGTTTAGGTCAAGTGGAGACCTCAGCTGACAGTTTGGGGAGAGCTATTCCCTGGCTGACTGCAAAACAGACTCCTGGCACAGCAGTAAGGACCTTGGCTCTGGTTTGGGGGCTGCAGGCTGCTGACTCTGGCTTGTGCTCCAGAAGTCCCGGTAGAGGGTCATTTGCATCCTTGTTGGGGCTGGATTTTTGAGCTCAGCTCAGAACTGCAGATCATGTCCTTGTGGCCCCGCTGATGTTTGTAGGGTTGCTGAGTGCTGGTTGTAGAATGAGGCAGCTCTTGCTTGAGCAAAGCTTGCTGGAGTAGAGCTTTGTGGGGGATGCCCTGTGGGGGAGGGATGCTGTGCAGGGAGGACTGGGCTGTAGTTTGAGAGCTAATATTCCTCAATGTGCAATGCTAGCCGGGAGCTTCGAAGCTGCCTCTTCAGGCCTGTCTGCATAGGCTTGCAGGAGAATAACATTCCGAGGTGTTTTGAGAGAAATTACAGAAGTTAAAGCTACTCTATTGACTCAAGTGACAGCCTCATTCAGAGTTTGGGCACGTTAATCCCATCCCCTGCTGGGGGTCAAGTAAGAGGTGGTTGTCTTTCCTGAGAGAGCACCCTACCAAGCTGCTGTGGGAACAAGGGCTGAATACTGATGTTCGGTGGCAGCAGCATGTAAATGTAAAGTCCTGTTACAGCACTGAAGCTTTCCTGCCAGTAGAAGCTTTGAGCACTTTCTTTCTGTTGTATTTCTTAGCTTTCACTTATAAGAACCCCCCACCAACCAACCTTTTCTCCCACCCTCAAAAAAATCCTACGAACAAAAAACCTCACCCTTAGTTACTTCATAACTATTAATGCTGCTCGAAGAATTCCTTGGCTAAAGACTGGCCTTATTTGATGCATAAACAGGCCTTAAATTATCTTTTGAAAATGCAGACTCTTATATATTTCTTGCCATACCTGCCAGTTCCTGCATATTTTTATTTTTTTTCATTTGAGGCTTAGACTAATCAGTCACAACATAAATGTATGCTGGGAAGAGGAAATGCATCACTGCCATAGATTATGCTGCTCCCAGGGACTGGAAGTGGTAATCCAGGGTATTGTATATTGCCAATTTCTGAGAGATTCCTATGTGCTTCAGCAGGGCATAAGCTTGAATTGGAGGAAGAAGGGTGCCCTGTAGCTCAGGGCTTGGTGATGTATGGTATTTCATCTCTTGTGTCTGCTCTAAGTGCCTGTCTCACTCTTGCATGCAAGATAAGCTCTTGGTCTTGCTCCTAACTCCTGTGTTCAGAAGGTAAAGCACACCTTGGTGTGAAACAGCCCCCTGAGTTGTTTGAAACTCTTTAAATCCTAAATACAACCTCAAGCATGTAGAAACTTTTGAAAGAGTTTACTCCTCCCTCATAAATACTCAGTACACCCCTCAATTACATAAATGTTTGATCATGGTTCCACATCACTTCTTAAACTAACACAGCTGCAAAAAATATATTCTGTCAACAGCCTGATCCTTCCTCACCCCTCCCAAACAATCTTGTCTAGTTGCACAGGGATCTGAATGGTGGAACTTGTAATTTATGTCTATTATCTATATAACTTCATAGTTTGTGTGTGTATTTTTGTTCCTGGATTATTTTGCCTAGATTAGTTTTTTTTCAGTCTTTTTTCTGTCCTTCTGGTGCTTAAGGGCTACAAAAGCTTGTGGTCGCAGAGGAAAGGTGTCAAGGCTGAGGGATAGATGCAGGACAAGAGAAACCTCTCATGGCAGTGATGGTTTCCCTCTACAACTACCTCAAGGGAGGTCACATCCAGGCAACTAGCAACAGGGCAAGAGGACATAGCCTCAAGCTGTGCCAGGGCAGATTCGGGTTGGACATCATGAGGAATTTCTTCATGGAAAGGGCTGTCAAACATTGGAATGGACTGCCCAGGGAGGTGGTGGAGTTGCCATTCCTGGAAGTGTTCAAGAAACGAGTGGACATGGCACTTAGTGCTATGGTCTAGTTGACAAGGTGGTGAAAATGGTGAACTCGATTATCTCAAAGGTCTTTTCCAACCTAAATGGTTGAATTGATTCTATTATGTGTAAAATAGCTGGCTGCACGAGGAGACAGGCTATGCCCAGAACCTTCAGACCACGTCCCTGAAGGTTCTGAGCTGGACACGCGTGGCAGTTTATTGCTGGGGACTTGGTGTAGAGTCTTATTCTCCCCCTGTGAGACTGGACTTTGTAAATTATTGAGCTGTGCGAGTCTCCTTCACAGGGCTCATTGGCCTCAATAATCTGCTCACATGTTAACCATAAGATTGACTTCAGCAGTGTCCCTGACTCTCTCAAATTGGTCATGGGTCTGTGTCAAGTTGGGTGTGGAGAAGTGGAGCCTCTTGGACTGCTGGCAGCTGGATGGAACACTGGCAGGTGCCTGGGGAAGGTGACTTGCCCCTGCTCTGACACCTGTGTCTTTCTGGTGTGCCTGTGTCTGCCATGCTGTGCAGGTTTGTGGGTACAGCTCAGCAGCAGCTTCTTCCTATCATCTTTTCCATAAGTTGTCCCCTTTGTGCTCTTCTCTCATTGCTCTCCTTCCCAAACTGCCACTTTGCTCAATAGGTGAAAGAAGACTTTCACAGCTTTGGTTTTGCTTTAATGTGAGCAGACAGTAGTTAGGTTTTGGTTTGGGTTTTTTTCTTTCTCGTATAAAAGCAAGTTAGTATTGTCACTAGCTCCCTTGAGGATACGCCACCACTTGGCAAAACTGTGTCATGGAAGCAGATGCTTGGTGTGCTAGCAGTGCTCTAGCTCATGGATCCAGTAGCTGCTGCTCTCCAGATCCGATTGAACTACTGGGTGCTGGGTTGGACTTGA